GGTGCAGGGATATCCAGGGATATATCCAGGGATATCCAGGGATATCCAGGGATATATCCCGGGATGCATGAGGAAGTGCAGGGATATCTAGGGATATATCCAGGGATGCATGAGGAAGTGCAGGGATATCCAGGGATATATCCAGGGATATATCCAGGGATGTATGAGGAAGTGCAGGGATATCCAAGGATATATCCAGGGATGTCCAGGGATGACACCCCTGTCCTTGGCCCCTCCAGGCCACTCTCCCAGGGGAGTTCAGGGATCTACAGGGAGGTTCAGGGAATCACAGGGAAACAACCCAGGGATTTTTAGGGATGTTTAGCGACGTCCCCCTCCCCTTTAACCTCTCCAGGACCCTCCCCAGGCCGCACCTGGGGTCCCCCAAAGGCCCCTCAGCCCCTCCCCGGGGCTGTTTTTAGAGGTCTTTCCCCTCACGGAACCGCCCGGCGCGACCCTCCCCCCTCAATTCTGCCCCTCAGCAAAGTTCCCCCGAACAAAGCGCGCGTGTCCCGCGTCCCGTCCCCCCCAGCTCCAAACCCCCTCCCCGAGCTCTTGGTCCCGCCCGGAGCGCGGTTCCCGCGTGGGGCCGGGCCGGACCATTCTCCCCACGCGGGGGGAGTCGGGGTGAGGGAGGTGGGGGAACCCACACTCACAGCTTGACCACATTCTGAACCACCGCCGCCATCTTGGCTCCGCCGCCGGGGCTGCCGGGAGCGCCTGCGCGGGCAGCGAGGGAGGGAGGGAGGGAGGGAGGAGAGGAGGGAAGGGGAGAGGGAGGGGTGGGGAGAGAGGGAGGGACGAGGGGAGGGAGGAGAGGGAGGGTGGGGAGAGATGGAGGAGGAGAGGAGGGTGGGGAGAGATGGAGGAGGAGGAGGAGGGAGGGTCGCATTGACGGCCCCCCCACACTCCGGCCGCGCGGGGGCGCTGTCTGAGCACGCGCGGGGAAAAGGCGGGAAAAGGGGAGCGGAGGCCCTGAGGGGAAAGGGGGGAAGGGGAAAATGGGGAAAATTCGGGGAAAATGGGGAAAATTCGGGGAAATGGGGAAATTGAGGGGAAAAGGGGAAATTGAGGGGAAAGGGGGAAATGGGGAAAATTCGGGGAAAATGGGGGAAATTGAGGGAAAGAAATGGGGGAAATTGAGGGAAAAGGGGGAAATTGAGGGAAAAGGGGGAAAATGGGGAAAATTCGGGGAAAATGGGGGAAATTGAGGGGAAAAGGGGGAAATTGAGGGAAAGGGGGAAAATGGGGAAAATTGGGGAAAGAGGGGGAAAGGGAGAATTGGGGAAATGGAGGGAAAGGGGCTGAAAAGGGGGAAATGGGGGAAATTGAGGGGAAAAGGGGGAAATGGGCTGAGGGGGGAAGGGGGAAAATGGGGAGAAAACTGGGGGGAAATGGGGGACAAAGGGGGAATGAGGGAAAAGGGGAGAAGTGGAGAGAAAAGGGGGAAAGTGAGGGGGAGAGTGAGGGAAAAGGAAGGATAATGAGGGGGAGAACGGAGGGGAAAAGTGAGGGGGGAAGGGGAGAACGGGGGTGATGAAATGGGGGATAAATGAGGGGGATAAATGGAGGGGGATGAAATGGGGGATAAATGAGGGGATGAAATGGGGGATAAATGAGGGGATGAAATGGGGGATGAACTGGGGATGAAATGGGGGATAAATGAAGGGGGATGAAATGGGGGATAAATAGGGATGAAATGGGGGATAAATGAGGGATAAATAGGGGGATGAAATGGGGGATAAATGGGGGTCAAGGAAGGGTGAAATTAGGGGAAAAACGAGGACCCTGCCCCTGCAGATCCCCCCTCAATTCCCTACGGCTGTTCATGACCCAACCCAGCCCCTCCATCCCGAGAAACTCCTGCCAAAAACTGTTCTTTTTTTGTTGTTGTTTTTTAATTCTCTTACCTTTTTATCAAATTCACCGAATATCCCAAAACTCATCCCCTGGTGACGGCAGCTCCTGGGTGAACTCCTCACATCCAGGTGAACTCCTCACATCCAGGTGAACTCCACACATCCAGGTGAATTCCACACTTCCAGGTGAACTCCTCACTTCCAGGTGAATACCACACATCCAGGTGAATTCCTCACACCCAGGTGAACTCCTCACTTCCAGGTGAACTCCTCACTTCCAGGTGAATACCACACATCCAGGTGAATTCCTCACACCCAGGTGAACTCCTCTTTATTTTTCCTCCCTGTTTTCACGCTCCACCTGGGGTTTTTTTCCCCTGTTTTGTGGGAATGTGCCCTTTTTTCCAGGGTCAGCCCTCCCAGTAAATCCCCCCCTGGAGCTCATCCCGACCGTGGGCGTCCAAATCCACTTCCTGGAAATCCTGGGATAACGAGGAGCTCGGGATCCACTGGGATCCACTAATTAATGAGTCACTGATTAATTGCATGATAAAGGTCCCCAGGAAGGCCAAGGGGGGGGGGGGGGTTTGGTGGGTGTTGAGTCACCCCACCGGGCCTGGATGAGTCACAATCCTTGGAACTGGGGACAAATCCACAGGGTTTGGGGGTAAATTGTTAATTTGGGGAGGGGTTAATTAGGGGAGGGAGGGGCGTGGATTCCAAGCCGCATTCCCACCGAAATCCGTCCCCAGCGGGGTTAATTAATCACAAACGAGGCTCTGCAGCGGCTCCATCCCATCATCGCTGGAGTCTTTTTTTTTTGGCAAGAAAAAAAACCCAAAACAACGAAAAACAACCCCTAAAATAAATAAAAACCAGAGCAGGAGAAAGAGCTGGACCCAAAACAGCAGCAAGTCCAAGGGGGAAGCAGGAGCCCAATTAACCTCCTTGTCTTAATTACTGCACGGAGGGGAAGGGGCTCGAGCCCCAAGTCCTGGGGGGTTCTCGGCCCCAAGGGGGGGGAGTTTGGTTTGTTTGGGGGGGACGAGGGCGAGGGAAGGAGCCCCTGACTCATCAGTCCAGCAGCTCGTTAGTCCAGAGGCTCATTAGTCCAGCAGGCTCGTTAGTCCAGAGGCTCATTAGTAGATCCAGAAGGAGGAGCAGCCGAGGAGGCTCCTCTGGGGTCTCCTTTGGGTTCTCCCGACCCCGCCTGGGGCTCAAACCCCCCGCACGAGGCGAAATGGTGACCCCAGCCCCGACCCCGGGGGACTCCTGAGACCCCAACCCCAACCCTGAGGGGTTCCTGGGACCCCAGCCCTGACCCCGGGGGGCTCCTGAGACCCCAGCCTCGACCCCGGGGGCTCCTGAGACCCCAGCCCCAACCCTGGGGGGCTCCTGAGACCCCAGCCCCGACCCCGGGGGGGCTCCTGGGACCCCAGCCCTGACCCTGGGGGGCTCCTGAGACCCCAGCCCCAAACCTGGGGGGCTCCTGAGACCCCAGCCCCAAACCTGGGGGGCTCCAGGGACCCCAGCCCCAAACCTGGGGGGCTCCTGAGACCCCAGCACTGACCCCGGGGGGCTCCTGAGACCCCAGCCCCGACCCCGGGGGGCTCCTGGGACCCCAGCACTGACCCCGGGGGGCTCCTGGGACCCCAGCACCAACCCTGGGGGACTCCTGGGACCCCAGCCCCAAACCTGGGGGGGCTCCTGAGACCCCAGCACTGACCCTGGGGGGCTCCTGAGACCCCAGCCCCAAACCTGGGGGGCTCCTGGGACCCCAGCCCTGATCCTGGGGGGCTCCTGGGACCCCAGCCCCAAACCTGGGGGGCTCCTGAGACCCCAGCCCCGACCCTGGGGGGCTCCTGGGACCCCAGCACCGACCCTGGGGGGCTCCTGAGACCTCAGCCCCAAACCTGGGGGGCTCCTGAGACCTCAGCCCTGACCCCGGGGGGCTCCTGGGACCCCAGCACCGACCCCGGGGGGCTCCTGGGACCCCAGCACTGACCCCAGGGGGCTCCTGGGACCCCAGCCCTGATCATGGGGAGGCTCCTGAGACCCCAGCACCGACCCCAGGGGGCTCCTGAGACCCCAGCCCCAACCCTGGGGGGCTCCTGAGACCTCAGCACCGACCCCGGGGGGCTCCTGGGACCCCAGCCCCGACCCCGGGGGGCTCCCGGGCCCCACTTGGGCCTCTCCGGTGCTTTTCTGTCCCCAATCCCAGCAGAAATTTCCCCCCTCCCGGAGTCATTTCCCGCTCCAAACCCCCTCCCTGCCCCCCTCCCCAGGGTGGCCGATCCCACCCCTGCCCCTTCCCCTCCTTGGCTTTGGCTGCTCTGGGGCTTCATTCAGTTCCCACAGCTCGGCCCGGCCCGGGGGGTTTTCCAAGGGGGGATTTTTCCACAGGGAGCTTCGGGCTATTCCACAGGGACCACACAATGGCAGAGCCCAGCTTGGTAAAGCCCAGCCTGGCAGAGTTCAGCTTGGCAAAGCCCAGCCTGGCAGAGTTCAGCTTGGCAAAGCCCAGCTTGGTAAGTCCAACGTGGTAAAGTCCAACGTGGCAAAGTTTAACAGCTTGGTAAAGCCCAGCCTGGCAGAGTTCAGCTTGGTAAGTCCAACGTGGCAAAGTCCAAAATGGTAAATTTAGCCCAGCTTGGTAAAGCCCAGCCTGGCAGAGTTCAGCTTGGCAAAGCCCAGCTTGGTAAGTCCAACGTGGCAAAGTCCAAAATGGTAAAGCCCAGCCTGGCAGAGCCCAGCTTGGTAAGTCCAACGTGGCAAAGTCCAAAATGGTAAATTTAGCCCAGCCTGGCAGAGTTCAGCTTGGCAAAGCCCAGCTTGGTAAGTCCAACGTGGCAAAGTCCAACGTGGCAAAGTCCAAAATGGTAAAGCCCAGCTTGGCAGAGCCCAGCTTGGCAAAGCCCAGCCTGGTAAGTCCAACGTGGTAAAGTCCCAGCGATGCCTTTCCCAGGAATCCAGAGCAGGTTGAGGTCGTGGGGGGGATTTGGGCCCCCCCCAGATCCCGGGATTCGGCTCACACGGACGGTGGGAACGCTCCCAGTCCCGGTGGGAGGGGGTGGTGGCAGCACTGGGGGTGGGGGGTGTTGGGTTTGTCCCCAGGCGTGGAGGGAACGTCCGGAATCGGCGGGGGCCGAGCACAAAGCCCCTCCTGGCGTTGGCACGACGGGCCCTGCCGGAGGGAACGGGGGGAGGGAGGTGGAAGTTGGGAGGCGCTTCGGGAGACCACCCGAAATCACCGGGAAATCACCGGGAGACCACCGGGAAATCACCGGGAGACCACCTGAAATCACCAGGAGACCACCGGGAAATCACCGGGAGACCACCGGGAAATCACCGGGAGACCACCCAAAATCACTGGGAGACCACCGGGAAATCACCGGGAGACCACCCGAAATCACCGGGAGACCACCCGAAATCACCAGGAGACCACCGGGAAATCACCAGGAGATAACCCGAAATCACCGGGAGACCACCCAGAAATCACCGGGAGACCACCCGAAATCACCGGCGCCGCCGTCATCGCCATTGCCACTGTCACGTCACCACCCTCACCTCCATCCCCACTGTCACCTCCATCCCCACTGTCACCTCCATCATCATCACCTCCATCCCCACTGTCACCTCCATCCCCACTGTCACCTCCATCACCCCCATCTCCATCCCCACTGTCACATCACCACTGTCACCATCCCCACTGTCAACTCCATCTCCATCACCTCCATCCCCACTGTCACCTCCATCACCCCCATCTCCTCCGTCCCCACTGTCACATCCCCACTGTCACCTCCATCATCATCATCTCCATCTCCATCACCTCCATCCCTGCTGTCACATCCCCACTGTCACCTCCATCCCCACTGTCACATCACCACCCTCACCTCCATCCCCACTGTCATCTCCATCCCCACTGTCACCTCCATCACCCCCATCTCTGTCCCCACTGTCACCTCCATCTCCATCACCTCCATCCCTGCTGTCACCTCCATCATCATCACCTCCATCATCATCACCTCCATCTCCATCATCCCCATCTCCTCCATCCCCACTGTCACCATCCCCACTGTCACCTCCATCACCCCCATCTCCATCCCCACTGTCACATCCCCACTGTCCATCATCATCACCTCCATCCCCACTGTCACATCACCCCCATCTCCTCCATCCCCCCTGTCACGTCACCACTGTCACCTCCATCCCCACTGTCCCCTCCATCATCACCTCCATCTCCATCACCTCCATCCCCACTGTCACCTCCATCACCCCCATCTCCATCCCCACTGTCACATCACCACTGTCACCATCCCCACTGTCACCTCCATCATCATCACCTCCATCTCCATCACCTCCATCCCCACGGCCACCATCCCCACTCTCACCTCCATCCCCACTGTCACCTCCATCATCATCACCTCCATCTCCATCACCTCCATCCCCACTGCCACCATCCCCACTGTCACCTCCATCCTCTCCATCTCCACCCCCACCATCCCCTCCACTCCCATCCCCTCCATCCCCATCCCCTCCACCCCCATCCCTACCACCCCATCCCCACTACCCCATCCCCTCCATCCCCCCATCCCCACCCCCACCATCCCCACCCTCCACCCCCCATCTCCTCACCCGGGGCCGCCCTCACGTCGGGATCTCGGGGACGGCTCCTCCTCCACCACCACCACCACCTCCCCTCTGGGCCTGGTGCTTGTCCATGACCTGCAGCACGTCCTCCAGGATGGAGGGCCCCAGGTCCACGTGGAGGGACAGCAGGGACCCGGCGTGGGACAGGAAGGGCGGCTCGGCCTCGGCGGCGTCTCCGTCGTGGGCGAAGCCGTTGGCGGGCGGGGCGAGCCGGGGGTCCCCGGGGGTCCCCGCCGGGGGGTTCCCCCCGTCCCTCTCTGCTGTCACCGTCACCTCCTCGAGGTGCAGGCGCGGGGGCTTGGGCGGCGCCTGCGCCGGGGGCAGGGTGAGCGCCTGCGGCCCCCCCAGCGCGGGCAGGGAAATGGCGTTCTTGAGCAGCGGCGACGGCGTCACCGCCACCACCCCGGCTCCGGCTGCTCCGCTCACCGTGGCCGTGCGCGAGAAGGAGAAGGGCGGCCCCTCAGCACCCCCCTCAGCACCCCCCTCGGGCCGGGGCAGCAGGTGGAACTTGCCCTGCAGGAAGGAGACGTCGCCGAAGGTGTCGGCCTCGCCGCCGCTGCCCACGTGGATGGTGTGGCGGAAGTCGCCGAGCGGGGGGCTGATCATGTCGGACGAGAGGATGTCGCGCAGCTTCTCCTTCTTGCCCTTGCGGCTGCCCCTCTTCAGGTAGATCGGCACCTTGGTGGCCATGGCGGCCCCCCCGGGAACCGCCTGAGGGACGGGCGGGGAGAAGGGGGGGGTGGTGAAAGGCGAGTCCTGGAGCGCCCGGGGAGGTCCCAGGAGTGAATTCCAGGTGTTCATCCTCGGTGGTTGTGGCGGTGCCAGGGTTGGAGGCACAACCCAACCCTACCCAACCCAAGTCAACCCCACTCAACCCAACTCAACTCAACCCCACACAATTCAACCCAACCCAACCAACCCCACCCAACCAAACTCAACCAAACCCAACTCAACCCAACCCAACTCAACCCAACCCAACTCAACCTCAACCCCACCACCAACTCAACCCAACTCAGCCCACCCAACCCAACCCCACCCAGCCCAACCCAACCTCACACAACTCAACTCCAACCCAACCCAACCCACCCAACTCAACTCAACCCCTAACCCAACTCAACCCAACCCAACTCAACCCAACCCAGCTCAACTCAACCCAACTCAACCCCACCCAACTCAACCAACTCAACCCAACCCAACCCAACTCAACCCAATCCAACTCAACCCCAACCCAACCAACCCCACCCAACCCAACCTGGCACTGAAACCACCTGCAAAATGAGCAGAAAAAGGGGGAAAACGGTTAAAGCCGAGTCCTGGCCCGCCCAGGGACTCTCAAAGTCCCAGGAAGGAATTCCAGACGTTTCCCTGCCCTCCCTCCGAGGCTCTCCTGGCCCCAACACCAGCAGGGGCCTCAGTGCAGGGGCCTCGGGATGGGCTCCGAGGGGAGATCCCGGAGCGTTCCCACCGGGAGAGCTCAGGGGCTGGGACAGCAGAGTGGGATGTGACCCCATTCCCAGCTGGAATTCACCCTGCCCGGGGCCAAAGGGCCCCAGGGATCCAGCACGGGGGAGCAGGGAGGGTTCGACCCCAAAAATGCCTTGGGAAGACCCCGAGGGAGGGACAATCCCGGGTCACCTTCTGGAACCACTGCCAGGGGCTGAGCCCACCCAGCACTCCCTTATTCCATCCTTTTAGGGAGCATTCCCCGTTTTCAGGGCATGTTCCCTCACTATTCCCTGTTTTCAGGGCATGTTCCCTCACTATTCCCCATGTTCCCTCACTATTCCCTGTTTTCAGGGCATTTTCCCTCACTATTCCCTGTTTTCAGGGCACATTCCCTCACTATTCCCTGTTTTCAGGGCACATTCCCTCACTATTCCCTGTTTTCAGGGCACATTCCCTCACTATTCCCTGTTTTCAGGGCACATTCCCTCACTATTCCCTGTTTTCAGGGCACGTTCTCTCACTATTCCCTGTTTTCAGGGCACATTCCCTCACTTTTCCCTGTTTTCAGGGCACATTCCCTCACTATTCCCTGTTTTCAGGATATGTTCCCTCATTATTCCCCATGTTCCCTCACTATTCCCTGTTTTCAGGGCACATTCCCTCACTATTCCCTGTTTTCAGGGCACATTCCCTCACTATTCCCTGTTTTCAGGGCACATTCCCTCACTATTCCCCATTTTCAGGATATGTCCCCTCACTATTCCCTGTTTTCAGGGCACATTCCCTCACTATTCCCCATTTTCAGGGCACGTTCCCTCATTATTCCCTATTTTCAGGGCATGTTCCCTCATTATCCCATTTTCAGGGTATTTTCCCTCACTATTCCCTGTTTTCAGGGCACATTCCCTCACTATTCCCCATTTTCAGGGCACTTTCCCTCATTATTCCCTGTTTTCAGGGCATGTTCCCTCATTATTCCCTGTTTTCAGGGCATGTTCCCTCATTATTCCCCGTTTTCAGGGCATTTTCCCTCACTATTCCCTGTTTTCAGGGCACATTCCCTCACTATTCCCTGTTTTCAGGGCACATTCCCTCACTATTCCCTGTTTTCAGGGTATTTTCCCTCACTATTCCCTATTTTCAGGGCACATTCCCTCACTATTCCCTGTTTTCAGGGCACATTCCCTCACTATTCCCTGTTTTCAGGGCACATTCCCTCACTATTCCCTGTTTTCAGGGCATGTTCCCTCACTATTCCCTGTTTTCAGGGCACGTTCCCTCACTATTCCCTATTTTCAGGGCATTTTCCCTCACTATTCCCTGTTTTCCCCCCCTTCCCTCCTCCCAAACCCCTCCACACTCCAAGTCTGTGCCGAGGCCGGAGCCCCCTGCGTGTCCCGATCCCACCCCCTGCCCCCTCAGCCCCCGTTTCCAGGGAAGAGCCCCCTTTTCCAGGGCAGGTTCCCTCCTTATTCCCCCTTCCCAGGGAATATTCCCTCATTATCCCCCCCTTCCCCATCCCATTCCCTCCTCCCCGAGCCCGGCACAGACCCCGAGGCCGCGTCCCGACGGATCCGGAGCCACGGGAGATCCCGGCGAGGCGGAGAGGGGGGAAGGAGCCCTGGGAAGGTGGGAATGAGCCCTGGGAATTGGGAATGAACCCCAGGAATTGGGAATGAGCCCAGGGAATTGGGAATGAGCCCAGGGAACGGGCCTGGGGGTTGTCCCAGCCCGAGGCCGGCGGTTCCGGGCGGGGGAAGATCCTGACGGAGCGGAATCCGGCGCCGCTAATCCCGGGATTAACGGAGGGGGCGGCCCCGGGGGGGGGATGGAGAGAGGGAGCAGGGAAGGAGATCCCGGGAATATCCACAGGAACAAAAAAAGGGGGAGTCAGGGGGGGAAAATACGGGAATAGGGGGGGGGAAAAGGTGGGGGTGTAGGGAAAGAGGGGGGGTTTGTAGGGAATAAATGGGGGTTTGGAGGGAAAAAGGTGGATTTGTAGGGAATAAATGGGGGTTTGTAGGGGAAAAGGTGGATTTGTAGGGAATAAATGGGGGTTTGTAGGGAAAAAGGTGGATTTGTAGAGAATAAATGGGGGTTTGTAGGGAAAAAGGTGGATTTGTAGGGAATAAATGGGGGTTTGTAGGAAAAAGGAGGTTTGGGGGGAAAAGGGGATTTTTTAGGGAACAAAAGTGGATGGGGTAAGGGAAAAAAAAAGGTGGGTTTTTTAGGGAAAAAGGTGATTTTTGTCCCCAACAAACAATTGATTTCCAGGCGAGGCCGTGGCGGGAGGGAGATCCGGGAGCGCCTCATTCCATGGGAAGGACGGGTTTCCCTCCTGGAAGAAGTCCCAGAACCCCCAAAATTCCCTGCTCCCGTGGGACAAAAAGGCAGCAGAAAACCCTGGGAATGTTCAGGGCTCTTCCCTTTGTGCTCCCAGAGAACAAAACCCTGGGAAAAAGGGGATTTGCTGCCGGAGAAGCTCCGGGAGCGGCGGTGAGTCCATCCCAAAATTCCCCTTTCCCAACATTTCCTCCAGCCAAGAAAACCAACCCAGGCTCGGGAGCGTCCCCAGGGCCCCCATTCCCTGCAGGAATGATGGGAAAAAAGCTGGAAAAGGAGGGAAAGCGGGAGGAGGTTCCAGAACCCCTTCCCAGGTGCTCTCCCTGTCGGTCCCTCCGGCCATCCCGAAGATCCCTGGATCGTCCAGGAGCCCCCAGACGAGCCCTGGCCGTCGGAAAACGGGGAAAACAGGGAAAAGTGGGATGCTGTCCCAGAGGATCCGGGCGGGAGGAGCTCCAGGAGTCGATCCAAGGACTCCAACTTTGCTGAATCAGCAAATTTTTCATCCCCAACGGAAGAGAATTTGAGGAATTTTTTTTTTTCCCTGTTTTCCTCAATTTTTGCTCCTGGTTTCGGCAATAATTTAGGGTTTAACTTGGGGGGAAATTCGGGCTCCTTTGTGCCCGTTTTCAGTAATTTACGTCTCGTTGCGTGAAAATTTTGATTCTTTTCCAGGAATTTGGGCCTCGGCTCATCAAAACTTGTTGCAATTTTCCACCTGTTCCTGCCAATTTTGGGTTTGGCTCGGGAAAAATTCCGGATCTTTTTGCCGCTTCCCAGAAATTGATGTCCCAGCACACGGAAATTTTGCTCCTTTTCCGCCCGTTTTTGGCACTTTCTGCCTCTAAAACGCGAAAATTTGGTTCTTTTGGGCCCCTTTTCGGCGCCTCGAGCTTTGGGACGTCCGAATTTGTTACTTTTTCGGGCTGTTTTTCCTAAAAATTCCTCCCTTTCCGCCCTGAGATGCCCCAAACCTGCCCTGAAATGCCCCAAACCTGCCCTGAAATGCCCCAAATCTGCCCCCAAAGGCCTCAAATCTGGCCCTGAAATGCCCCAAATCTGCCCCAAAAGGCCTCAAAGCCCCCCCAAACCACCCCAGTCACAGCTTCCCTCAGTGCCCCCAAACCAGTCCTAAACCCCCAAACCCAGCCTAAGAACCCCCAGACCCGGCCTGAGCCCTCCCACTCTCCCAAACCTGCCCCAAAATGTTCCCAAACCTGCCCCAAAATGCTCCCAAAACCCCCCAACCTGCCCCAAAATGCTCCAAAACCCCCCAAACCTGCCCCAAAATGCTCCAAAACCCCCCAAACCTGCCCCAAAATGCTCCCAAACCTGCCCCAAAATGCTCCCAAACCTGCTCCAAAATGTTCCCAAACCCCCCAAACCTGCCCCAAAATGCTCCAAAACCCCCCAAACCTGCTCCAAAATGCTCCAAAACCCCCCAAACCTGCTCCAAAATGCTCCAAAACCCCCCAAACCTGCCCTCAAAATGCTCCAAAACCTGCCCCAAAATGCTCCCAAAACCCCCCAAACCTGCCCCAAAATGCTCCCCAAACCTGCCCCAAAATGCTCCCAAAGCCCCCCAAACCTGCCCCCAAAATGCTCCAAAACCCCCCAAACCTGCCCCAAAATGCTCCAAAACCCCCCAAACCTGCCCCAAAATGCTCCCAAACCTGCCCCCAAATGCTCCAAACTCCCCAAACCTGCCCCAAAATGCTCCCAAACCTGCCCCAAAATGCTCCAAACCCCCCAAAACTGCCCCAAAATGCTCCAAACCCCCCAAAACTGCCCCAAAATCTTGCAGTCCTGGAGCTGCAGGAGTGGGAAAAGGGGGAGTAACAACCTTTGGGGTGAGGATTAGGGATTTTTTTAGGGAATTGTTTGGAGCAACTTTCGGGTGCTGCCCCAACGAGCCAGGGGAGGATTTATCCCAGATCCGTCAGAAAAGCTGGAATTGCTTGGACCAGGGGGTGAATTCCCCTCCACCGCTGCCCCAACTGGAGCATCCCAAGCACCCAGCACCCTCCAAGCGCTTCCAGAGGGTTTTCCCGG